GCACCATGGGCAGTTGGCATCCTTTGCTTTGGAGTGCTGCGCCCTTCTGCTCCCCTGGGAAAGCCTTTGGAAACAGAAGCTGCCCTCTGACTCCAAGTGTCATCCCAGACCTGGGGGAAATAGGCACCACTCCCCATGTGTGGGGAGAGTCTTTAAATCCCACAGCCGAAGGCAGCATGATGAACCACATCAGCCACACAGGCAAAGCTCCGCTTACTCACAATTAGAAAGCACAAACCAGCAACACCAGAAGTCACATAAATTCACAGGCCACGTGGATCTACAGAATAACGACCCACCCCCCACACAGGAAACCCCCCCACTTGAACAAAACCCCATCTTCAAACACTGACACGACATAAGGAAAGCACCAGCCTAACACTCTTGGTTACAACACACCTGAAGACTGGCAATGCATCAGTCTGCAGTGGAGAGACCCAAAACTCCAATGTGGATTTGGTTTGGATCTTCACAGGTGTTCAAGTCATGGTTCCAAACCCATCCTGGCACTGAGAGGCCACAGAAGAGCTGGAGCTAATGCAGAAGCACCCTGGAGCCTTTGCTCTCCTTCTGTACTGCTTGCTCTTTGGGATCATTTTTGGTTTGGATTAAGGAATGCCATTCAGCACACAGCTGCTTTTACTGTATTTTCCCCAGCAATCAGCTGCCTCTTAATGAACTTGCTTTGACATTAAAAAAGCATTATTAATAATAAGAGGTGGACCCAAGCTGGGGACATAAACATGCCCCAATCTTGGCACTGGAGTCTGAGTCCTCCTCTGAAGAATGCCTGTGAGCTCTGCTCCAGCTGTGCTGTGTACAGTGTGCTGACACCTCATGGCCAAGCAAGTAATTCAGATAAGACACCATTTCCCAGGAGATATATATATATATACACACATACATTCTCCATCTGCTATAAAGCAAGAAATGAGGTTCATTTATCAAGAGGTTTGTAACGGATAGATCTGACTATAGCAAAGATAGGAAAGAAAACCAGTCCAGGCATGCTTCACATTCTTGAGCTGCAAACAGATGGGTGCACCAGGGTCCCTTACTCACAGCTGTGGTAGTCTGAGCTTCCTGGATGCTGAAGGATGGCTCTAATGCTCTTCTCCATCGGCATGGCCCATATACTGAGCCATAGGTGGCAAACCTCGTGGTTTCAGGCCTGG